GATTTTTTTTGAAGGGTTTTTCGTGTCTCTATGTTCTTTGGTTCTGCTCTGATCTTAGTTAATTATTGTCTTCTGCTAGGTTTTGAGTTTTTTTGATCTTGCTCCTCTAGCTCTTTTTAAATTTTGATGATAGGGTGTCAATTTTGGATCTCTCCACTCTTCTCATGTGGGCACTTATTGCTATATATTTTCCTCTTGAGACTGCTTTAAATGTGTTCCAGAGATTCTGGTATGTTGTGTCTTCGTTCTTGTTGGTTTCGAAGAACTTATTTCTTTCTGCCTTCATTGCATAGTTTATCCAGTCAACATTCAAGAGCCAGTTGTTCAGTTTTCATGAAACTGTGCGGTTCTGAGTTAGTTTCTGAATTCTGAGTTCTAATTTGATTGTACTATGGTCTGAGAGACTTTTTGTTATGATTTCCGTTGTTTTGCACTTGCTGAGGAGTGCTTTACTTCCGTTTATGTGGTCAATTTTAGCGTAGGTGTGATGTGGTGCTGAGAAGAATGTATATTCTGTGGATTTGGGGTGGAGAGTTCTGTAAATGTCTATCAGGTTTGCTTGGTCCAGGTCTGAGTTCAAGCCCTGGATATCCTTGTTGATTTTCTGTCTGGTTGATCTGTCTAATATTGACAGTGGAGTGTTAAAGTCTCCCACTATTATTGTGTGGGCGTCTAAGTCTCTTTGTAAGTCATTAAGAACTTGCCTTATATATCTGGGTGCTCCTGTATTGGGTCCATATATATTTAGGATCGTTAGCTCTTCTTGTTGTATCGATCCTTTTACCATTATGTAATGACCTTCTTTGTTTCTTTTGATCTTTGTTGCTTTAAAGTCTATTTTATCAGAGATGAGAATTGCAACTCCTGCTTTTTTTTGCTCTCCATTTGCTTGGTAAATCTTCCTCCATCCCTTTATTTTGAACCTTTGTGTATCCTTGCATGTGAGATGGGTTTCCTGGATGCAGCACACCAATGGGTTTTGGTTTTTTATCCAAGTTGCCAGTCTGTGTCTTTTGATTGGTGCATTTAGCCCATTTACATTTAGGGTTAATATTGTTATGTGTGAATTTGATACTGCCATTTTGATGCCAGCTGGCTGTTTTGCCCATTAGTTGATGCAGATTCTTCATTTTGTTGATGCTTTTTAGCATTTGGTATGTTTTTGGAATGGCTGGTACTGGTTGTTACTTTCTCTGTGTAGTGCCTCTTTCAGGAGCTCTTGTAAAGCAGGCCTGTTGGTGACAAAAATCTCTGAGTACTTGCTTGTTCACAAAGGATTTTCTTTTTCCTTCACTTATGAAGCTCAGTTTAGCTAGATATGAAATTCTGGGTTGAAAGTTCTTTTATTTAAGGATGTTGAATATTGGCCCCCACTCTCTTCTGGCTTGTAGTGTTTCTGCCAAGAGATCTGCTGTGAGTCTGTTGGGCTTCCCTGTGTGGGTGACCTGACCTTTCTCTCTGGCTGCCCTTAGTATTTTCTCCTTCATTTCAACCCTGGTGAATCGACGATGGTGTGCCTTGGAGTTACTCTTTTTACGGAATATCTTTGTGGTGTTCTCTGTATTTCCTGGACTTGAATATTGGACTGCCTTGCTGGGTTGGGGAAATTTTCCAGGATAATATTCTGAAGAGTATTTTCCAGCTTGAATTCGTTCTCTTCGTCCCCTTCTGGTACACCTATCAAACGTAGGTTTGGTCTCTTCACATAGTCCCACATTTTTGGAGACTTTGTTCATTCCTTTTTGTGTTTTTTTTTCTCTAATCTTGGTTTCTTGTTTTATTTCATTGAGTTGATCTTCAACTTCTGATATTCTTTCTTCTGCTTGGTCAATTCAGCTGTTGAAACTTGTGCATGCTTCACAAAGTTCTCGTGTTATGTTTTTCAGCTCCTTCAATTCATTCATATTCCTCTCTAAGTTGTTCATTCTTGTTATCATTTCCTCGAATCTTTTTTCAAATCTTTTTTCGAGGTTCTTAGTTTCTTTGCATTGATTTAGAACATGTTCTTTTAGCTCACAGAAGTTTCTCATTACCCACCTTCTGAAGTCTGATTCCGTTCTTTCCTCACAGTCATTCTCTGTCCAGCTTTGTTCCCTTGCTGGTGAGGAGTTTTGGTCCTTTGTAGAAGGTGAGGTGTTTTGGTTTTGGGTGTTTTCCCTTTTTTTGTGCTGGTTTCTTCCCATCTTTGTGGATTTATTCACCTGTCTGCGTAGTTGCTGACTTTTCGATTGAGTCTCTGAGTGGACACCCAGATTGTTGATGATGAAGTATTTCTGTTACTTTGTTTTCCTTCTAACAGTCTAGCCCCTCTGCTGTACGACTGCTGAGGTCCACTCCAGGGCCTACTTGTCTGGGGTACACCTGTAGCAGCTGCAGAACAGTGAGGGATGCTACCAGTTTCTTCTTCTGCTATCTTTGTCCCAGTATGATGCCCACCAAATGTCAGTCAGATGAGTCCTTTTTGAGATGACTCTTTGGGTATATAGGGGTCAGGGAGCTGCTTGAGGAGACGGTCTGTACTTTATAGGAGCTCAAGTGCTGAGCTGTGAGCTCCGTTGTTCATTCAGGGCTGTTAGGCAGGTACATTTCAGTCTGCTGCAGCAGAACTTATAAAACCCCTTTTTTTCCTCAGATGCTCTGTCTCGGGGAGTTAGGGCTTTCTTTATGAGTATCCATTGCACTGTCCTGCCCAGCTAGGAGGCAATCTAGTCACTATTTGTTTGCCAAGGCTCCGCCCTGCTGCCGTGGGGTCCGCCCTGTTGCCATGGGCTCTTCCCTGCTGCTGTGGGCTCTGCCCTGCTGTCATGGGCTCCGCCCTGTTGCTGAGTGTAGTTCCCTGTAGTCCTGATTATATGGGTGTTGTTAGAACTGCTGTGGTGATAGTGGCCTGCCTCTGTATTGGCGGAGTCTCTCTGTTATGACGGGTTGCCTCGGCAACGGCAGGCTGCGTCAGCAATGGGAGTGTACCTCAGTAGGGGCAGAATGCCTCGGTAATGGCAGTGCTTCTCCGCCATTGAGCTGCACCATCCTGGGTTCAGCTGTGCCCACAGTGAAACTCTCAACCCCGAGCGTTTCAAATCGCCGTTTTATTTGTCCCTGTGGGGGTGGTGCCTGCCGAGCCTAATCACCTTGCTCCCTACCTCAGAGCCCCTTTTTTTTTTTAAGTTGAACGGTTGACTCTCTCCCAGGTGTTTCAGTTGCCTGCTGATAGGGCACCGGGATCTGTGTGATTTCCCGTGCAACAACTCGCTGCGCTGGCTCAAACGTCGCTTCCCAGGAATCTCCTGGTCTGGCTCACTTTCCAAGTCCCATTTAATCAGATGGATGTGCTAATCTGCCCTTCCAAATCTCAGATTGCCGGTTTAACAGGGCACCCAGACTAGTACGTTCTGTGAGGAGGGCCACTGCGCTGCGGCGCCAGCCAAATGGCCGCGCCAGCCAAAACAGCTGCGCTGGCATCCCGTGTCTCTCCTACACCTGGGAATTTCCCCGTTCTGTGGCCAAAAAGATCCATCTGGAAATCCGGCTTGCACTCACCCTCTGCATCTTCACTGAGAGCTGCAATCCTGAGTTGCTCCTACCGCACCATCTTCTTTCAGTCTCTGACATGTACTTTCTTAATATTGATGTTGGGAAAAATTAGTGGGGAACAGAAACAAAAATGAATGTGATGGATTTAGCTAAATACCACCCTGAGTTGTTGTCTTTTCTAAACTTAAACCTGTGTTTAGTGTTTGATTCAGACACATTGATTCATTGTGTCTGTTTCGCCTTTTTTATTTGCCCTTTTTCTGCCTTCTTGTATGGAAATTATTTTAGAATCCCACTTCGATATATCTATAGTGTTTTGTGGTTTTTGTTATTGTTGTTGTGCTTTTGAGACAGGGTCTGGCTCTGTCAATCAGGCTGGAATGCAGTGGAGCAATCTCAACTCACTGTGAACTCCGACTCTCAGGCTTAAGCCAGCCTCCCACCTTAGCCTCCGGAGTAGCTGAGACTACAAGTGTGTTCCACCACGCCTGGCTAATTTTTGTATTTTTTGTACAGATGGGGTTTTGCCATGTTGTCCAGGCTGGGCTGGTGCTCCTGAGCTTAAGTGATCCACCCACCTTGGCCTCCCAAAGTGCTGGGATTACAGGCGTGAGCCACCGCACTTTGGGAGGTGGTATTTTTGTTTCTTTTCAGGAAGATTTGCTCTAGATGTTACATTATATGTACATAGCTTATCACAGTCTAGTAGTGTTGACATTTTACCAGTTCAAGTGAGATGTAGAAACCTTTGTCCCTTTAAATATCTACCCTTGTTTATGATTATCTTAGATATTCCTTTACATACATTGAGAACCACATCCATGTTACAATTTTTGCTTCAGCTGTCAAATATAGAAAACTGAAGAGGAGAGGAAAGTCTCTTGTATATGCCCACGTGCTTGCTCTTTCCATTGCTCTTTTCTTCCAGGAGGTTTGCTGATTGCTTACCTTGAGCTTTGCTGTTTGGTAACTATTTTATGTTCAGATTCCCAAAGACTGTTTACTCCAAGGAAACAGTGACAAAATCATAGTTTGTTTATCTGGCAATATAAAGACTGAAATGACAGTGTAGAGAAATGAAGTCATTTTCTGAATTAGGCATTTTTCTTGGAATGGGCACTACTCTAAAATCATGGAAGTCTAATGATTTAGGGTAATATGGATCTAATACGGGTCTATTAAATGAGGAGTTGAGTAAGCTCCAAATTTCCCTCTAGATTGGTAAGTCTGTAATTTGTTATATGAAATTCCTAATTATCACCATATTACGTTCAAAAAATGTTAACCCAAATTCTTTAGTAACTGACAAACCTCATTCTTAAGACTCTTGACAGAAATCATCTTGATGAGCTTCTCTGCATGATCTTTCCAATGCTGTTATAATTCTATGGCAATTACTCTTATTTTGATTAATTCTAATGCAAGGAGAGAAAGACTGACTCTGTGTTGGGGTTTCCTTTCTTTATAAGGCACAAGACCTAAATGTCATCGAAGAAGTGATTCGAATGATGTTGGAGATCATCAACTCTTGCCTGACAAATTCCCTTCACCACAATCCAAACTTGGTCTATGCCCTGCTGTACAAACGTGATCTCTTTGAACAATTTCGAACTCATCCTTCATTTCAGGATATAATGCAAAATATTGATCTGGTAAGTATAAAGATATCTGTTATTATTCTTTTTTAAGTGTTAAAGGAGAGAATGTTTAATAAGCCTTGGTAAGAACTATAACAGTAAGAGTTTCTTCCTTCAACATTAACTATATTTGCGTCTATTTTGCTATAATAGTTGTAGTAATCTGTGTATTTATTGTATGTACACATACATATTTAATAAAATTGAAGTCATACTTCATACAGTTCTTTATTCTGCCATTAGAATAAAGTTCTGCCATTTGTTCTTTATGCTACTTAGAACATGAGCATTTTTCTGTTATTATCAATTCTTTGCAGATCTCACATTTTAATTTCTGTCTAGACTGTGTGTCCTAAAATATATTTAATCATTATCCCTTTTTTGCTAATTTATTTCCAGTGTTTTATATCAATTCATAATGGATGAACAGTTTTTAAATAAGTTTTATCTCATATTTTAAAATTACATTTTTGGTAAGGTTTTAAAGCTTTACTAGTTTTTACCGTCAGAGGACGTCTTTATTTTCAAGATTCAACACAAGTTGCCAAATTGCTTTCCAGAAAAACTATAGCATTTATGCATGTGGACTAGGCACGGTGGCTCATGCCTGTAATCCCAGCACTTTAGGAGGCTGAGGTGGGTGAATCACTTGAGGTAGGAGTTCAAAACCAGCATTGCCAACATGGTGAAACCCCATTTCTACTAAAAATACTAAAATTTGCTGGGTGTGGTGCTCACACCTGTAATCCCAGCTACTTGAGAAACTGAGGCAGGAGAATCACTTGAACTTCGGAGGCGGAGGTTGCAATGAGCTGAGATCACACCATTGTTCTCTGGCCTGGGCAACAAGAGTGAAATTCTGTCTCACAAAAAAAAAAAAAAAGAATGTATGCATCTGTATATCATATTATAGTTCCATGAGAAGATCTGTATACTTTTACAGCTTTGAACAGTATAATTATTTTAATGTCTTTTTATAGCAAAAATGGTATATCGTCATATTTTAATTTCCTTCATTACTAGTGTGGTTGAACATTTTTTACAGGTCTGTGAACTTTTGCTTTCTGTCCTTTTAAAAAAATTTTTTTTGTTAAGTTTTCTACTGTCATATTAGTGTTTTCTGATTCAACTTGGTTCCATAAATATTTTTTGAATAGCTATTATAATTCACAGTGCTGGGCTCAAGTAAACTGAAGAGCTACCATCCCTGTCCTTGTATTACTTATATTTAGGAAGACATTCAATAATTAAATTATCAAACAATATATATAGTTTCAATAATAAGTAAGCACATGTACATACCTTTCTCTGGGGTGTTTACCCAATAGTGGAATTACTGGGTGTTGTGTATCATGCCAAACTATTTTCCATGGGGGTGCTACCATTTTACACTCTAGCCACTGGTGTATGAGAATTCCTGTTGCTTTACATACTCATAAAAAAAATTGTTTTGATAGTTTCATCAGTTTTGTAATGGCATCTTATTATACTTTTAATTTGTAATTCCTTGATTACTAATAAGGATAAGCATGTTTCATATGTTTATTAGCTGCTAGATTTTCTCTTTTAGGAGTGCCTGTTAAAGTCTTGCTAATTTTCTATTGAGTTATTTCTTTTTCTCTTGTTAATATATATTTTATTGTTATGTTTTGGATTCTAGATCTTTCTTGGTTATATGTTGCAGATAACCACTCTCTAACACATCTACAAACTTTTTGACAGAACTCTAAAACTCCTCTTCAAATAGATAGGTAACATTCTCAATTCCACTCTTTCTATGGAGACCTGCTGCCTGACACCCCCATTGTGCACTGATTCTGCACAGCTGCACTGTCTTGGGAATTGCCTTCACTGCTGTTGTTTGGTTGAGCCTGGCTCCTGTCTTCCTCTTTCTTGGTTTACTACTTTGTGTTGGTGGAACGTATATTATTGTAGCTTTCTGGAAAAGGGTATATATGAGATGGATTTTTTTATTTTTTACTTTATCATGTCTGAAACATCTTTCTTCTCCCTTTATGTATGACCTAATCTTTCTGGAAGCTTTTCTGATCTCTTTATCCTTGTGTTCTGGAACATCATGATTTGCTGTGCATTGGAAAATTGTATTGGATACTTGGAGAGCCATTTTAGTCTATAGACTGATGCTCAAAACAATCAAATATTCTTTTTGTTGCTGTTGGTTTTGAGACAGAGCCTTGCTCTGTTGCCTATGCTAGAGGCAGACTTATGGCGCATTACAACCTCTGACTCCCAGGCTCAAGCAGGCCTCCCAGCTCAGCCTCCCAGCTTACTGGGATACAGGCATGCATCGCCACATGCGTGCGTGTGTGTGTGTGTGTGTGTGTCAGTCAAGGTTAGATCTTGCTATGTTGCCCAAGCTGGTCTCAGACTCCCAGGCTCAAGTGATCCCCCCGCTCAGCCTTCTGAAGTGTTGGAATTGCAGGCATGATCCATTACACCCAGCCAAATAGTCTTTTAAATTATTTCTTCTCTGCCACCTTTTGTCTGTGAAATTATTCTTAATCAAATGGTCCTTGGGAGCCCTTTTATATCCGTATCATTAAATGTTATTTTGGGGGCTAGTCCATGTCCTCAGATAAGAATTCTTTAGGCCCCTGTTTGGAGTATAGAAGCCTGTCTGTCAGAGTTTTGAAAGCAAAGATAGAGGCTGAACTACGTTGTGGATGGGGAGAGAAGGCAGAGAGAGTGGTGTCTAAATGAAAACCGGTTTGCTTTCAGTGTGGCAGCAACACATAGATTCTAGTCAAATTTCAGACATTTAAGAATGTCCTGTCTATTCTCATAAGCCAACTTACCCAAGTAGGTTAATCTTTTGCTCGTCTTGGTAGAGTTTTGTGTAGTTGTTAGGTACTTGGTTGAAATCAGGTTTGGGCCATAGCTAGCCTCCCATTCCAGACTCTTAACACATAGGATATATTAACTGCTGGATACTCTGGAATCTACACAATTAAATGTGAATTTAACCTACAGTTGAGTATATTGTTGCAAATCCGTTCATTGATTTTCACATCTTTTTCACGATTGCTGGTAAACAGAAATTAATATTAAAACTCTATTTTGTCAGCTTAATCCATGTTTTTGTTGGCTTTCCTTAAGCTGCTTCAGCTACATACATAATGGTTGCAGCTACAGCAAAATACTTTGCCATGCATACTCTTGTCATTTTCTTAAACTTATATCAACATCATTTAGGTATCATTAACAGAACTGGAAAGTAAATCGTCCATGGGGGTTGGGGGGCATCTCTTGGGAGAATGCCATCCCTGCTCTCATCTCAGCTCTCAAAGAAAGTATCCAGAATGTAAACAGTGCGTTTGTGTCCATTCGTCTTAACAGTTACTATTGCAAGCAGTCTTATGGATTATAACATTGAGTAGAAATCATTCTCTCTATGAAGGCAACTTTATAGGCTAGCTATTAACTTACTTCTGAAAAGCTGCTTCTAACCATGTTATTCATGAATTTGTCCAAATTCCTTTCTGTTTCTTGCCAGTACTATTTTTGGAGGTAAAAACTGAGTTTAAGACTCATTATGCTTGTTAGTAAAGATTTCACAAAACTCTTTCCCCTTTTACATGAGAAATTGGCCTTGGGTTAAGAAGCTTCTTGCTCAGTTTTCTGGAAATCTAATGGAGGTAGAGTGTCAGTTCTGTTACCAAGCAACACTGCTATGATAAAATGATAATGTGATAAAATGACATTTGATTGGCAAGCTGAGTCCTTACTTGGAAGACTAAGAATGAACCACAAATATTTGATAGGAAGTCGTAACTTTGGGCTTCTCTGAATGAGAGAACTCTTATAACTGGGCACATCCTTTCCAGGGACCTAGAAGCTGAGACTGTCACAAGGATATTGGTTTCTGTTTGGGACGTGGTTTCTCACGTAGGGTGGCTACTGCATCTACCTTCAGTAGTCTCATTCTCTCGCATCTGAACTGTCATTTGAAGGGTCAAAGACTAGCCCAGAAAACAAAAACCTGTGGGGCTATGCTGTTGGCATGCTGTTTTTCCTATCTTTATATCTTTTTAAAATTAATCTGATGCCAACTGTGGCCTTCTATAGTCTTGAGACTCTTGATGTCTAATATTTCATCTAAAAATATCACCCAAGAATGGGCATTGTAATGTTAAAATAGTATTTTCTTCTATTTGTTTATTAATGTATCTTTTTCAAGCTCCAGAGTTGGGGGATATTCCTGCTTTTCTAATATTTATTGAGATCTTTACATTCTAGAAATATCCAGCATGTCCATTTTCAGCCTTCGTGTTTCTAAACTGTGTCATTCCATTCATTTCAGTCTGCGCTTGTGGCAGTCCTCTAGCCCGTCTGTCCTAACTTTTGCCTTTCTCTGGACCTCCCTGATTCTAATTTCTGTTTTCATTCCTTCCTATCTTTCTTTTTTTCCTTTAAAAAAATTTTAAGGATAGTCACCTGAACTATGGACTATATATGTCTGGTAATATACACCTGCAGTATATTGGAGAGAAATAATCTCTAATTCCCAGTACCTTTCATTGTGATGGGCAATATTTTCTTTGTGTTTCTGACAAAAGGCGAAACCAGAGATTTTTTTTCCTGTGGTGATAGCTGTAATAGGCAATATTATACATCATTTGGAGTATTTAGATTTAAAATTTTATTTAAACCACATCAAAAGCCATTTGCCTCTTTTCTAATCATCTAAGCACTTACATGCATTAACTTACTTAATCCTTATTGAAAAATAAGCCATGAGGTATATTTCATGTTAGTCCTCAATTTACAGTTAAACCAAGTTAGAGTAACTTGTTCACTGTCACATATTTAGAAAGTGATATAGCCGGAACTTAAACCCAGAGAGTTTGATAATAAGGCCCATGTTTGTAATAATTCTGCCTAACCACTACATGCATTCACTAAGTGCTGCCACAGTTGCCTTATGAACCATCTGATCATATCCACAAACATATTTACTTTCTCTTTGAAGATCAGTTCTAATGATGTCAAATCGG